CTAAGTAGCCTCCGTTGGTACCTAAGTAGCCTCCGTTGATACCTAGGTAGCCTCCGTTGATACCTAAGTAGCCTCCGTTGGTACCTAAGTAGCCTCCGTTAATACCTAAGTAGCCTCCGTTGGTACCTATGTAGCCTCCGTTAATACCTAAGTAGCCTCCGTTAATACCTAAGTAGCCTCCGTTGATACCTAAGTATCCTCCGTTGATACCTAAGTAGCCTCCGTTAATACCTAAGTAGCCTCCGTTAATACCTAAGTAGCCTCCGTTGATACCTAAGTATCCTCCGTTGATACCTAAGTAGCCTCCGTTAATACCTAAGTAGCCTCCGTTGGTACCTAAGTATCCTCCGTTGATACCTAAGTAGCCTCCGTTAATACCTAAGTGGCCTCCGTTAATACCTAAGTAGCCTCCGTTGGTACCTAAGTAGCCTCCGTTGGTACCTAAGTAGCCTCCGTTGGTACCTAAGTAGCCTCCATTGATACCTAAGTAGCCTCCGTTGATACCTAAGTAGTCTCCGTTGGTACCTAAGTAGCTTCCGTTGATACCTAAGTAGCCTCCGTTGATACCTAAGTAGCCTCCGTTGATACCTAAGTAGCCTCCGTTGATACCTAAGTAGCCTCCGTTGATACCTAAGTAGCCTCCGTTGATACCTAAGTAGCCTCGTTGATACCAAGTAGCCTCCGTTGATACCTAAGTAGCCTCCGTTGATACCTAAGTAGCCTCCGTTGGTACCTAAGTAGCCTCCGTTGATACCTAAGTAGCCTCCGTTGATACCTAGGTAGCCTCCGTTGATACCTAAGTAGCCTCCGTTGGTACCTAAGTAGCCTCCGTTAATACCTAAGTAGCCTCCGTTGGTACCTAAGTAGCCTCCGTTAATACCTAAGTAGCCTCCGTTGATACCTAAGTATCCTCCGTTGATACCTAAGTAGCCTCCGTTAATACCTAAGTAGCCTCCGTTAATACCGAAGTAGCCTCCGCTGGTACCTAAGTAGCCTCCGTTGGTACCTAAGTAGCCTCCGTTGATACCTAAGTAGCCTCCGTTGATACCTAAGTAGCCTCCGTTGATACCTAAGTAGTCTCCGTTGGTACCTAAGTAGCCTCCGTTGATACCTAAGTAGCCTCCGTTGATTCCTAAGTAGCCTCCGTTGATACCTAAGTAGCCTCCGTTGATACCTAAGTAGCCTCCGTTAATACCTAAGTAGCCTCCGTTGATACCTAAGTATCCTCCGTTGATACCTAAGTAGCCTCCATTAATACCTAAGTAGCCTCCGTTGGTACCTAAGTATCCTCCGTTGATACCTAAGTAGCCTCCGTTAATACCCAAGTAGCCTCCGTTAATACCTAATTAGCCTCCGTTGGTACCTAAGTAGCCTCCGTTGGTACCTAAGTAGCCTCCGTTGATACCTAAGTAGCCTCCGTTGAAGCCTAAGTAGCCTCCGTTGATACCTAAGTAGCCTCCGTTGGTACATAAGTAGCCTCCGTTGATACCTAAGTAGCCTCCGTTGATACCTAAGTAGCCTCCGTTGATACCTAATTAGCCTCCGTTGATTCCTAAGTAGCCTCCGTTGATACCTAAGTAGCCTCCGTTGATACCTAAGTAGCCTCCGTTGATACCTAAGTAGCCTCCGTTGATACCTAGGTAGCCTCCGTTGATACCTAAGTAGCCTTCGTTGATACCTAAGTAGCCTCCGTTGGTACCTAAGTAGCCTCCCTTGATACCTAAGTAGCCTCCGTTGATACCTAAGTAGCCTCCGTTGATACCTAAGTAGCCTCCGTTGATACCTAAGTAGCCTCCGTTGATACCTAAGTAACCTCCGTTGATAACTAAGTAGCCTCCGTTGATACCTAAGTAGCCTCCGTTGATACCTAAGTAGCCTCCTTTGATACCTAAGTAACCTCCGTTGATACCTAAGTAGCCTCCGTTGATACCTAAGTAGCCTCCGTTGATACCTAAGTAGCCTCCGTTGATACCTAAGTAGCCTCCATTGATACCTAAGTAACCTCCGTTGATACCTAAGTAGCCTCCGTTGATACCTAAGTAGCCTCCGTTGATACCTAAGTAACCTCCGTTGATACCTAAGTAGCCTCCGTTGATACCTAAGTAGCCTCCGTTGATACCTAAGTAGCCTCCGTTGATACCTAAGTAACCTCCGTTGATACCTAAGTATCCTCCGTTGATACCTAAGTATCCTCCGTTGATACCTAAGTAGCCTCCGTTGATACCTAAGTAGCCTCCGTTGATACCTAAGTAGCCTCCGTTGATACCTAAGTAGCCTCCGTTGATACCTAAGTAGCCTCCGTTGATACCTAAGTAGCCTCCGTTGATACCTAAGTAGCCTCCGTTGATACCTAAGTAGCCTCCGTTGATACCTAAGTAGCCTCCGTTAATACCTAAGTAGCCTCCGTTGATACCTAAGTAGCCTCCGTTAATACCTAAGTAGCCTCCGTTGATACCTAAGTATCCTCCGTTGATACCTAAGTATCCTCCGTTGATACCTAAGTAGCCTCCGTTGATACCTAAGTAGCCTCCGTTAATACCTAAGTAGCCTCCGTTGATACCTAAGTAGCCTCCGTTGATACCTAAGTAGCCTCCGTTGATACCTAAGTAGCCTCCGTTAATCCTAAGTAGCCTCGTTAATACCTAAGTAGCCTCCGTTGATACCTAAGTAGCCTCCGTTAATACCTAAGTAGCCTCCGTTAATACCTAAGTAGCCTCCGTTGATACCTAAGTAGCCTCCGTTGATACCTAAGTAGCCTCCGTTAATACCTAAGTAGCCTCCGTTAATACCTAAGTAGCCTCCGTTGATACCTAAGTAGCCTCCGTTAATACCTAAGTAGCCTCCGTTATTACCTAAGTAGCCTCCGTTGATACCTAAGTAGCCTCCGTTGATACCTAAGTAGCCTCCGTTAATACCTAAGTAGCCTCCGTTAATACCTAAGTAGCCTCCGTTGATACCTAAGTAGCCTCCGTTAATACCTAAGTAGCCTCCGTTAATACCTAAGTAGCCTCCGTTGATACCTAAGTAGCCTCCGTTGATACCTAAGTAGCCTCCGTTGATACCTAAGTAGCCTCCGTTAATACCTAAGTAGCCTCCGTTAATACCTAAGTAGCCTCCGTTGATACCTAAGTAGCCTCCGTTGATACCTAAGTAGCCTCCGTTAATACCTAAGTAGCCTCCGTTAATACCTAAGTAGCCTCCGTTAATACCTAAGTAGCCTCCGTTGATACCTAAGTAGCCTCCGTTGATACCTAAGTAGCCTCCGTTAATACCTAAGTAGCCTCCGTTAATACCTAAGTAGCCTCCGTTAATACCTAAGTAGCCTCCGTTAATACCTAAGTAGCCTCCGTTAATACCTAAGTAGCCTCCGTTAATACCTAAGTAGCCTCCGTTAATACCTAAGTAGCCTCCGTTAATACCTAAGTAGCCTCCGTTGATACCTAAGTAGCCTCCGTTGATACCTAATTAGCCTCCGTTGTTATTACCTTTCATGTGATATCTACTGATTTTCAGATTTATTTTCAAAACTTTATTCTATTTAAAATTCTTTTGATTCCCGGGAGGAAATAAATGTAACTTAACAATAAAAAATATATAAGTAATCCTCCTGGAATAGCTATCAATCATTTACAGATTAACGATTAAAATATAGTTTGGCCGGAAAAGAAGTCAGAACCTACATCTAAGTAATATCTATCAGTTTATAATGATATAAAATGCTGTCAACTTGATGATTAAGACATGTGCAACAGTTGCGTATCTTTATTGTTGAAACGTTCCGCCTGCGTAGTAGGCTTCGTCAGTCAAATACTGAGAATATATCGTAGACAGCAGGAGTAGTTGCCAGGTAATGTAGATGTTATTAGTCCATCAACCTTGAGGAAATAATTGGAAGTAGTCAGTCCCTCAGCCTCGAGAAGAATTCAGCTTCATGATTTAGAGCGATATCCTTCCAAACTATGGAAACGAATATCCCAATTTCTCCAGTGAAATGAAAATGGTACCTACACAGCCCGGAACTAAACTGAATCTTCCTCTTAGTAAGATATACCAAAGTTTGAAGCTCGTCGAAAATTGGCAAATTGCATTTCTTCGTCTTTAGCAAAAGGTACCGACACCGAAAGTTTGAAGCCGATGAGAATAATCAGTCCCATTTATCTCACGGAAGTGAGCAATAATTTTTTTTCTTATTTGTGGTAGAAATTTGTCAAATTTGCATCTATCCAGCTGAAAACTTTTTTGTTCTTCCATAACGATAGACGCATCAGCGTTTATTGTTTGAAGTTGTCTGCAAGAAACACTCTTAGGTAATTGCTGTCACAATGTAATTCACAGATTTGTGTAGCCGTGTACTGAAGTTGTTACCTTAAACAGAACTACCTGTGTGTTGATGGTGTTCCAATAATGTAACTCTCATATACAATAAGATAACAGCATACTAATGGTGCTTCCATCATTTAACTCTAATATGGAAAGAGAGTAACAGCAAATTGCTGGTGTCCTAGCCATAACGTTCTCATATGAAATACGATATATTATGGTTGTTCCCACCTTATAATTTGCACATACTGACTTAGGTAACCGTGCACAGGAAAGGCTCCCAACATGTAATTTTCATATGGAATAATTATTTGTATACTCTGGGTATATCCAAGCTTCTAAAAGAATGGTATACAACACCGACAGGATGAAAACTTATACACATGTGAAACATTTGGGTATCTTTATTGTAGACGTTTCGCCATCCAGTGGCTTTGTTAGTACAAATTCTAGGACATAACTTGAAGACAGTAGAACTTAGGGACTGATTACCTCATCTTTTGTATATTGATCTACTGTTTTCAAATTATGTCCAAGAATCTGTATTGATGAAGAAACTGGATGGCGAAACGTTTACAATAAAGATACCCAGATGTTGCACATGTGTCTCAGTTTTCATATCCAAGCTTGTTGAATGCCACCGTGTTATCTGTTGACGTGTGTGTCGTCCTCCGTTGCAGCACACAGTGTGGGTTGTGAGGACGGATGGCTGGCACACGCAGGCTGGTGCTACTGGTACTCCTACGATGCCTCTTCCCTCGCCAACTTCAAAGAAGCCAGGTGGGATTGTCAGGTGCGAGGCAGTGACCTGGTTTCCATACACACTGACGAGGAGAACTCTTTTGTTGACGCCATCATTAACCAACGTAAGGGCTGTTATGTAGTGTCTGTTGTATAGTGTGTGTGTTTTCTAGTATGTTTGCTGTATATAGTGCATGTGCTGTATTGTGTATGTTGTGTATTTATGCTGGCGTGTATGCATAGGGCCAGAGAACTGGCTCATATACTGTCGTCAGGTCAGTGGAAGCAAGAGGAGGCAAGGCCATAGTGGAACCATCCACTAGTGTAAATAGGTCATCGTCTGAAAGTTGGGCAAGTATTGAAGAATTCTTTGTATCAAGATCCCATGATGTTGCAGTATCTGACAGATGTGATAAACGGTTTTGAAAACCGATAAGTTGAAGAACTGAGACACTTATGCTGAGGGACTGATTACCTCAAACTCCTCCTGTCGTTATACCTTCCTGCTTTGTATTAAACTGATGAAGCCACTGTGTGGCGAAACGTTTCTTCAGTAAAGATTCCCATATGTTGTAAAGTAAAAGGACACAAGTGGAGCTAATGTGACATTTTATTGTGGGAACGTTTCGCTCTCCAGGAGCTTTGTCAAGCCGGCTTGACAAAGCTCCTGGAGAGCGAAACGTTGCCACAAAAAAAATGTCACATTAGTTGCACTTGTGTCCTTTTACTTTACATATTGTCGGTAATTTTACCAACATATATACATTCCCATATGTTGCATAAGTGTCTCACTTCAGCTTCTCCATTTTCGAAAATCATTTATCACGTTTGGCTAATGTGTTTGTTAGTGTACTGGTCAAGGAAGGAAACTGATATGCTAAATTGACTTTACACGGATTTTGCAAAGGCATTTAACAAATGGGGCCATAGTGTGATATTCTTTATAAAAAAAATCAAGAAAAGTAAGCAAATGGATATTCAGAAATCTATCAAACAGAACACAAATTGTGTTAGTAATTAATGGGAGATTTTAACTTTAGACAAATTGATTGGAACAATATGACAGGAAATCTTGAGTCTAGTGACTTTCTTGATACAGTTCAGGATTGCTTTTTAGAACAGGTTGTGACAGAACCAACTACAGCAAACAATCTGCTTGACTTGGTTCTTGCCAAGAAAGATTCACTAATTAATAATCTTGAGGTTAATGATGAGCTTGGGAAAACCGATCACAAATCATTTAGTTTCAATATAGTTTCATGGAATTACCCAGATAACTGCAATCAAATCTCTGTCCCAGACTTTCGCTTGGCCGACTTCATGGGACTGAAAAATTACCTGGGTGGGCTAAATTGGGATGTCCTGACTATGGGACAGGTAGGTGATCTTGGATGCCAATATGACGTTTTTCAGAGCATAGTTCTAGCTGCCCAGACAACTTTTGTTCTGAGTAGGGAAATTAGATCTAACAGAAATGATCCCAAATGGATGAACAATAGATTAAAACATCTCATTGGTCAAAAGAGAGGCATATATAGGCGTATCAAAAGAGGGGATGGGCAGTTAAGAAATCAATATATTCAATTAAAGAGAGAAATAAAGGAAGGAATAAGAAAAACAAAAAGGGGTTATGAGGCTAAGGTTGCAAGGGATTCAAAGACTAACCCAAAAGGGTTCTTTCAGGTATACAGAAGTAAGATTAGGGACAAGATTGGCCCACTTAAGAGTAACTCTGGTCAGATCACTGACAGAGATAAGGATATGTGTGAAATTCTCAATGCCTACTTCCTCTCAGTTTTCACCCAGGAAAATACTAGCGATATCCCTGAAATAATAGATTATGTAGAACAGGACGATAATAATCTATGTACGATTGCGGTAACTAATGACATGGTCCTCAGACAAATAGAGAAACTAAAACCTAACAAATCCCCAGGCCCTGATGAACTGTTTGCAAGGATGTTAAAGGAATGTAAAGAGGAACTTAGCATACCTTTGGCTAATCTTTTTAACATATCACTACAAACTGGCATAGTGCCTGATAAGTGGAAAATGGCAAATGTAATACCTATCTATAAGGCAGGTGACAGGTCCTTGACTTCGAACTATAGACCAATAAGCCTTACCTCCATAGTAGGAAAATTTATGGAATCAACAATTGCCGAAGCAATTCGTAGCCATCTTGATAGGTACAGATCGATTAGTGAATCTCAACACGGTTTTACAAAGGGGCGTTCCTGTCTTACGAATTTACTAACTTTTTTCACTAAGGTGTTTGAGGAGGTAGATCATGGTCATGGATATGATATTGTGTATATGGACTTCAGTAAGGTTTTCGATAGAGTTCCACATCAGAGGCTATTGAGGAAAGTTAAGGCACATGGAATAGGAGGAGAAATTTTTTCCTGGGTAGAGGCATGGCTGACAAATAGGCAGCAGAGAGTTTTCCCATAAGGGGGGAGAAATCAGAATGGGGGCACGTCACAAGCGGTGTTCCTCAGGGGTCAGTGTTGGGCCCGTTGTTGTTCACAATTTACATAAACGACATAGATGAGGGAATAAATAGCGACGTAAGCAAATTTGCTGATGACACCAAAATAATCCGTCCAATTCATTCTAATGAGGACAATAGAGCATTCCAGGATGATTTGAATAGACTGATGCAATGGTCGGAGAAGTGACAGATGCAGTTTAATATTGACAAATGCAAAGTTCTAACTGTTGGACAGGAAAATAACCATGCCACATATAAACTAAATAATGTAGATCTTAATACTACTGATTGCGAAAAGGATTTAGGAGTTCTGGTTAGCAGTAATCTAAAACCAAGCCAACAGTGCATTAGTGTTCGCAATACAGCTAACAGAATTCTTGGCTTCATATCTAGAAGTATAAATAATAGAAGTCCTCAGGTTGTTCTTCAACTCTAAATATCCTTGGTTAGGCCTCATTTTGATTATGCTGCTCAGTTCTGGTCACTGTATTACAGAATGGATATAAATGCTCTGGAAAACGTACAGAGGAGGATGACAAAGATGATCCCTATGAGGATAGACTAAGGGCCCTGAATCTGCACTCTCTCGAAAGACGTAGATTAGGGTGGATATGATCGAGGTGTATAAATGGAAAAGAGGAATAAATAGAGCGGATGTAAATAGTGTGCTGAAAATTTCCAGCCAAGACAGGATTCGCAGCAATGGTTTCAAGCTGGAAAAATTCAGATTCAGGAAGGATATAGGAAAGCATTGGTTTGGTAATAGAGTTGTGGATGAGTGGAACAAACTCCCAAGTACAGTTATTGAGGCTAAAACGTTGTGTAGTTTTAAAAATAGGTTAGATAAATACATGAGTGGGTGTGAGTGGGTGTGAGTTGGACCTGGGTCTGGTGCCGTGCTCCATCCTTGAGTGGAGGTGACCAGACTGGGTGGGTCATTGGGCTAATCCGGGGGGGACATGGACCTGCTCCATATGGGTCAGTAGGCCTGTTGCAGTGTTCCTTCTTTCTTATGTTCTTATGTTCTTAAAGTCGAGTTTCGGCAAAGTAATTAGTTTTGTATTCCAAGATAGCGTCGTAGCACCTTTACTGTTTCTCATCCTCATAGCGAACGTGTATGAAATACACTTATTATAGCTTCATGTTATCCTTAAAGAAGAAAAAGACACAATACCGTGACTGGAATACACAAATAACAAGCACATAGGAAAGAGCAGCTTACGACGACGTTTCGGTCCAAAACGAAACGTCGTTGTAAGCTCCTCTCTCCTATGTGTGGGTTATTTGAGTTCTAGGGGTTAGCATACAAACAAGGAAAGTCATAATAATAAGTGAACTGTAATCGGACTTAGCTTGATGACGACTACACTGTTTTGCAGCCACTTCCAGAAAGTTTTTGGAGTCGTCGATGTAACCACACTTGGGCTGTTAATAATGATGGGTGGTATAAGTATAATCACCCCTAGGGGGTGTAATTCAGCATATCTCAGAAACTGATTGCTGAAGTTATACGTACGGGTGTGGGCTCTATGGCCTACCCATCACCGGGTAATGGTACCATCAAATAAAACATGAATTAGATATCCGCTGTGCAGCCGACCTGACCAACATCATATTTATCAGATGTATTTGGGTATTTGTAGCTGACCCATAGATACACCCGGTTATCCACTGTCTTGATTGAAGCAGACATGTTCTTTCAAGAATATTGCACTGTCTTCCACTCCATCAGGAATTCGCAACACTTGCTGTTCTCACACTGTGCATCAAGATTTGTCTATTGTTCACCTCACAATAATTAAGAAGCTGCACACACTTCTTTTGAATAGGTTTATTGTTTATGGAGATTGTCTTTGAGGGACAGTAAGGCGCGATTCACTTTCTTTGTCTGCTCTTGTAGCGTGAAGTACCGAGTCCTTACTGCACCATTACATTTTGCAATCTGAACTATGACTCGGCATCTCTGAACATAAAGGAAGCGCTGTTGAGAAATGGTTTACCAGCTAAGGTTAAAGATTAAATATAGGGAGTACTTAGCTGATAAGACAGCTATCGTCCACACAGCCGCCCCTGCAGATGAGGTCTTGAGAAGTTGTTTCACCCACTTTTTAACGGGGTGAAAAAGTATATTATGTAAGATTATAAATTACCCCTAGGGGGTGTTATGTCAGCATATTTCATTCACTGATTGCTGATGCACTTACTTGTGTGGACTCAAAGGTCCACTTATCACCGGGGTTTATGATAAGTGACTAACTCATAACTTATACTCAACTGCACAGTCAATAGTAGTACATCACGAGTTAGAACACTTACCTGGGTATATGTATCTGACCCATAGTTATGCCCGGATATCTGATGAGTTGATTGATGAATAGTGTTCTTTGAAGAATGTTGCACTACGCTGGTGGATCACAACACTCGTTGTTACACTGTTCATCAATAATTGTTCACACCATATCACTAAAGAAGCTGATCACACTTCTCTGTAAGTGTTTATCGTGTTTTGTGAGACACTTTGTTCACACTAACGCACGGATCAGTGTTCTTTGTTGGATATCCTGGCGTCAGTGTGACTATCAGTAGAGTCAAAAGTAATCTGACCTCACAGCGCCCCACGCCGTCACTGCCCCTCGCACATAAAGGAAAAGCTGACCTAGTACTTTTTGCTTCCTTGCCAAACTTCCTCGATGAAGCAAAGCAGAATGTTTGATTCTTGCTGTCTTAAGCATAGACAACAATGTTCGCTATATTTACCATGGTAATAAAGTGGGACCAGGATTTTCCTTAATTGTCCTGCTAAGGTAAGAGATGGACTGTCTTTTATTAATCTACACTTTGCAACACTGGACTCTTGCAAGGAACAGCAGTCGCTTGACCACGTCGCATACTCGTACTGCATCTGGGATCAATTACTTGAACATTAAAATGGTATAAAATATCGACAGATTGTTAGGTAAGACACATATGCAACAGTTAGATATCTTTATTTCGAAACGTTTCGCCTACACAGTAGGCTTCTTCAGTCGAGTACAGAAAAGTTGATAGAAGCAGAAGAGACTTGAAGACGATGTAATCAGTCCATCACCCTTAAAGTTTTGAGGTGGTCAGTCCCTCAGTCTGGAGAAGAGCATTGTTCCAAAGTTTGAAACAATATGGAGTTGAAGTGACAGGATGGAGCTTTATATAGCGCCAGGAGGTGAGACGTAGGTCACTAGTAGAACGCAGATGTTGGGAGGTCAGGTCCCTCTCAAATCCAACCGCTCTCACTAGTAGAGGTAGTTCTACTAGTGACCTGTCTCACCTCCTGGCGCTATATAAAGGCTCCATCCTGTCACTTCAGCTCCATATTGTTTCAAACTTTGGAACAATACTCTTCTCCAGACTGAGGGACTGACCACCTCAAAACTTTAAGGGTGATGGACTGATTACATCGTCTTCAAGTCTCTTCTGCTTCTATCAACTTTTCTGTACTCGACTGAAGAAGCCTACTGTGTAGGCGAAACGTTTCGAAATAAAGATACCTAACTGTTGCATATGTGTCTTACCTAGGGATCAATTACTTGCTGTAGCAGTAAACAAGATGCTTGCCCCTTCTGAGAGGGCTGTGCCCCTCAGGGCTGAAAGGGGCTGAAAGGGGCTGAAGGGGGCTGATACCCCCCTCCTGGAGAAAATTTCTCCACAAGTGCTGATTTACCTTCCTTGCCAAACCTCAACAAAGCTATACTAGATGTTTGATTTCTCGTTATGTCTCGATCACTGAGAGCTCATTATTGTCCCATATGTGAGTAAAGTGAGGTACAAGTTTCCCGTACCTTTCCTGTTACTCACATTGGTTGCAACACTGGTCTCTTGCAAGGAAGTCGCATGACCATGACACATGGTCATATGCTTTCAATTAAAGTGTTATTGCAGAAGCAAGACGACATCAGCCCCTCTGGAGGGCTGAAAGGGTTGAAAGGGGTTGATACCACCCCCTCTTATGGAGAAATTTTCTCCACGTGAGTATTCATGTTATCCTCTTTGGACGATATCAAATTTACTGAAGAATTGCCATCATATGTCAAGAAAGTCTTCCAAAGGGTAAATTAAATATCTTGATATTCAATGGTGACAAATTCAATTTTCTTACATATCGTAAAAATGTGTAACCAAAAACGAGCACAGAATGTAAATGCTGACAGACAATCTCGTGGAACATAATCTGTCATTTAGAGAACACAACAAATGTAGGAGAAGCCAGAAAAAAAGGGACAGAGTAGATAATGAGAACTTTCAAAAAAGAACAATAACATCAGTGATGGTACTATTCAGATCACTTGTGCTCTCACGTTTAGAACACATTTCTGTGCTCACAGGTCCGTTCATTGCAGGGTAGATATCTACTGCAGACAAAGTAGACTCAACATTTTGTCTACAGGAAATGCTTCAGAGTACTGGGAATGTACTCTCTAGAGCGAATAAGAAAAATATATTGAACCACCAGAGAGCAAATCTACACACCACCATCACAATTTATTGGTGTGAGAGATATGGAACGAAGTGTAAAATAAATAAGTGAATAATCGTGGTTGTGATGTGCACAGAATGAGAACACTGTGTCGACATACCTGACTATTGACGCTGCTACCAGAAGATATCAAAAATTTTACCGTAACAAATATAGTAGTCTTGAAGATGCCAACTGCAAGATGAACAAGGCTGTGATGGCTATGTGAGACAGTAGGTAGTTAACAGCAACAGCCTGGTTGAATCGGCTAGCAAGAAAAGCGCCTGGAAAAACTAAACACAAGTGGTTTCTCGTACGCAGTAAGCTTTATCAGTCCACAAACAGGTAGATTTGTTTGTGACTTGATACAATCCACTGTGTGAGTGAAACGTAGTCAGTACATGATCACATGATACCGCAGGTGGGTATACTGGTAAGCTACTGAGTGTGACCTCTGAATATCTTTCCTGAAAACCATTACTAATGCATGTATATTCTTCCTTCCAGCAGCCTCGTTCTGACTACCAGACATCCTCCCTAACTCTTAAGCTTAGTTACACAGCACCAGTTATAACATGAGGACCATAAGAAGGAACACTGAGGCAGGCTTATTGGCCCATACTAAGCAGGTCTCTCTCAAATCCAAACCCACCAACCGAAAAAATATGCCCAACCCATTTTCAGTGCTACCCAAGCTTTGATAACCCTATTAACTCATGTGCAAATCCCTCTCAAATCTAACCCATCTCACTCATGTATTTATCTAACCTAATGTATTTATTGCTTCAACACTCTGCTTAACCGTCCCATGATTCTGATATTTTTCCTGTGTCCGTGACCGTACAGATCGCCTGACTGATGTGTGGCTGGGGGTGACAGATGACGGCCATCAAGACCAGATGATGTGGCTGGATGGATCACCACTCACCTTCACCCTCTGGAAGGCTCTTAATGACTATGGTAAATGCATTACGGATTCTGTCTTTCTGAAGAGTGAAACACTAGTGCAACATTTGGAAATCTTTATTAAGGAAACGTTTCGCCAGCCAGTGGTTTCTTCAGTCCAATACAGAGAAAAACGGTGAAAGATGAGGAGAAGAAGGAGGTAATCAGTTCCTCAGCCTTGGAGTTGGTGAAGATCACCGTAGTCTTGAAATCTTCGGTGGTCTTCACCAACTTCAAGGTTGAAGGAATGAATACGTCATCCTTTTGTATATAAGTCTACATTCTTTATATTATGTCCTTGTATTGTATTGATATAGTCACTGGATGACGAAACGTCTACAAACAAATATAGCCAGATGTTGCACACGTGCCTAATTCTTCATCTTGTTAGTGTTGTTGAATACCATTTATGTACAAGATTACTTCAGGTAGGAATTGATCAGTAAAATGCTAGTGTTCCTGGTTCCTCACGCTTTATCCATTATTATCATACATGGTACTGTGTTGTTCTACATGGCCCTGAATCCCCCACAGATGTGAAGTACCACCCACTGTGTGGGTTCCACTACAAGTTCTCCACGGAAGGAGAGTGGGGTGTGGGAACCTGCGATGCCAAGAATTACTATGTTTGCAAGAAGCCATACACTGTCACACCTCTCAACCCCCCGGACTCCGGCTGCAATTATGTGAGATCCTGCTTAGCCTTCAGGCTTTGCTTAGTGTGTGTGTGTGTGTGTGTGTGTGTGTGTGTGTGTGTGTGTGTGTGTGCACGAATACGTGGGCGCCTATGTTATACGACTAAAATACATTCATCGACGTATATCTTTGCGTGAGTGAATGTTGCCCATTGTTGTGCTGCGATTCTCTAAATGAAGCCAGTATATGTAGATCACATAGGTTATGAAGACGAAGAACAATCGAAGGGAGATGCTTGCTGAGGTTGTTGGTCTCCAGTGGAAATAAGTCACTGTCTGACAATTTTGGGTTATCCTAGATAATCTACACATGTGCTGTTATGCAAAACAACCACTGTGAAAGAATAGCGAAATTCCAAGAGAGTTCTTGACTTCTCACATTATCAAGAAACTAGTTCCTTGATAATGTGAGAAGTCACGAATGCGCTTGGAATTTCGCTTTTCTTTCTCAGTGGTGGTTTTGCATATTCTGATATCACCTGTTTACTGTGATCTTATTGCATATGCTGTTATGTATAATAATTTAAATAACTGTATTTATGTGTACCCGTATTTGTATAAAGTTACTTATCAGAGTGTTCATAAATACCGTAAACAGTGAGAATGAATGAGAGTTAAGTTGACCAAGGGAGCACCAGAAAGTATAGACTCTAGCTGTATAAGTATATATGTATGTGTATGATTGTTGGTGGTATTTGCCACCCACTCCGTTGTATTGCTCTCCTTGTCTTGTATTTACTAGTCATGGGCTCTAACAGCCCATGACTAGTAAATAATCTACCTTGTCCATACTATCGCATTTCTTTGTCTGTTTCGTAAGGTGAAGTCCAGGATCTTTCCTTAATTCATGGTATAACTTAACAAATCTTTGAGTCACATTTCCCAGACGCTCTACCATTATGGGTGCTGAACAAGATACTTGCAGAGAAGAATATTATAAGAACATAAGAACATAAGAAAGAAGGAACACTGCAACAGGCCTACTGTCCCATGCGGAGCAGGTCCATGTCCCCCCCCCGGATAAGACCAATGATTCCCCCCCGGATAAGCCCAATGACTCACCCAGTCTGGTCACCTCCACTCAAGGATGGAGAACGGCATCAGACCCAGCAGCACAAGCTAGTCAGGTCTAACTCACACCCACCCACACCCACTCATGTATTTATCTAACCTATTTTTAAAACTACACAACGTTTTAGCCTCAATAACTGTACTAGGGAGTTTGTTCCACTCATCCACAACTCTATTACCAAACCAGTGCTTTCCTATATCCTTCCTGAATCTGATTTTTTTCCAACTTGATACCATTGATGCGAATCCTGTCTTGGCTGGAAATTTTCAACACGCTATTTACACCCCCTTTATTTATTCCTGTTTTCCATTTATACACCTCGATCATATCCCCCCTAATTTTACGCCTTTCGAGAGAGTGCAGATTCAGGGCCCTCAGTCTATCCTCATATGGAAGATTTCTGATACATGGGATCATCTTTGTCATCCTCCTCTGTACGTTTTCCAGAGCATTTATATCCATTCTGTAATACGGTGACCAGAACTGAGCAGCATAGTCTAAATGAGGCCTAACCAAGGATATATAGAGTTGAAGAACAACTTGAGGACTTCTATTATTTATACTTCTAGATATGAAGCCAAGGATTCTGTTACCTTTATTGCGAACACTAATGCACTGTTGGCTTGGTTTTAGATTACTGCTAACCAGAACTCCTAAATCCTTTTCGCAATCAGTAGTATTAAGATCTACATTATTTAGTTTATATATGGCATGGTTATTTAACTGTCCAACATTTAGAACTTTGCATTTGTCAATATTAAACTGCATCTGTCACTTCTCCGACCATTGCATCAGTCTATTCAAATCATCCTGGAGTGCTCTAGTGTCCTCATTAGAATGAACTGGACAGCCTATTTTGGTGTCATCAGCAAATTTGCTTATGTCGCTATTTATTCCCTCATCTATGTCGTTTATGTAAATTGTGAACAACAACGGGCCCAGCAATGACCCCTGAGGAACACCGCTTGTGACGTGCCCCCATTCTGATTTCTCCCCATTTATGCAAACTCTCTGCTGTCCATTTGTCAACCATGCCTCTACCCAGGAAAAAATTTCTCCTCCTCTTCCGTGTGCCTTAAGTTTCCTCAATAGCCTCTTGTGTGGAACTCTATCGAAAACCTTACTGAAGTCCATATACACAATATCATATTCATTACCATGATCTACCTCCTCAAACACCTTAGCGAAAAAAGTTAGTTAATTCGTAAGACAGGAGCGCCCCTTTGTAAAACCGTGCTGAGATTCATTAATCAATCAATGCTTGTCAAGATGGCTACGAATTGCTTCGGCAATTGTTGATTCCATAAATTCTCCTACTATGGAGGTAAGGCTTATTCGTCTATAGTTCGAAGCCAAGGACCTGTAACCTGCCTTGAAAATAGGTATTACATTTGCCATTTTCCACTTAACAGGCACCATGCCAGTTTGTAGTGATATGTTAAAAAGATTAGCCAAAGGTATGCTAAGTTCCTCTTTACATTCCTTTAACGCCCTTGCAAACAGTTCATCAGGACCTGGGGATTTGTTAGGTTTTAGTTCCTCTATTTGTCTGAGGACCATGTCACTAGTTACCGCAATCGTACATAGTTTATTATCGTCCTGTTCTACATAATCTATTATTTCAGGAATATCGCTAGTATTTTCCTGGGTGAAAACTGAGATTAAGTAGGTATTGAGAATTTCACACATATCCTTATCTCTGTCAGTGACCTGACCAGAGTTACTCTTAAGTGGGCCAATCTTGTCCCTAATCTTACTTCTGTATACCTGAAAGAACCCTTTTGGGTTAGACTTTGA